CACCAGGGCCCCTCCATCCTGCTCTGCAATACCGCCTGGTAACCAAGGCCTGGGCTCCCACATGGCTCTAACACACAATCTTAACCTTTAGTCCCAATCCCAGTCCCACCTGGAGCAGAGCCTGCCAACAGCATAATGTATGGTGACAGTTTGTGACATAAGCAAAAAGTGGATAATGAGGAGGAAGAGCGCACCCTCTCAAACACATTTTCACTGCTCCCTCTAACCCAGGACATAAGCCTCCCCTCTAAGGCTTTCAATGTACAAAGCTAATGCACCAACCTTATCAAGCCACCCACCTTCTTGCCCATTCCCCTCTATGAAGCCAGCTTAGACTAGCACCGTGAACTTCCTGGAATACAGGCAGCTATAGTGACCCACCCTAGCTACTACACATGGGCTCTCAAGGCTGGCAAGGCCAGCAGCACTGTAGCCTGTCCATTGCTCGTTCAGGCTGCTCCTGTTCATCATTCACTTCCACCCCCCTGCCTGCACAAAGGCAGCTCACTCTGGTATGTAGTCCCTGAAGGAGTTGAAGCTCAGGCTTCTGCCACCCGAGTTGAGGGTGGAGTTAGCATGCATCCTGGGAATCTTCTCCATCAGCTTGGACACTGTCCTCCTCTTGAAGGAGCCGGGGGAGAAGTGCCCCTGTCTCATCAGCTCATGGTACAATGTGTTGAACACCATCACAGTCTCTTCGTAGCTGTCTCTGGTGGAGATCTCATAGAATGGATACTTCAGGGCTTTGGAGAGGTTCTCGCCATCCTCAGAGGATACCATCCTGTCAAACTGCAAGTCCTTTTTGTTGCCAATAATTACCACAGGCGGCTGGTCACTCCCACTGCTCCGCTTAGGGCTTGCATGGATGTGGTTGATGAGGAAGCAGAGCCTCATAACCTCATCAAAGCTGCACCTGTCAGTCACTGAGTACACCACAGCAAAACCGTCACCCCACTTGATCTTCTCCTCAATCTGCAAGGAGTCTTCTTCCTGGGGCAGGGAAAAGTAGAAAGCACAGCATCACCATCCCTGCCTGGCACCTCTACATGCAAGGAGCTCAAAGCACTAGTTCAGATACTTGGCTACAGCTTGCTCCTGTTCCTATTTGGGTCACCAGTAAAACTCCCAACAGTGTAGGATCAGGCCTCTGGAGCAGAGCAGGCTGTTGGCTTTGGATTAAATCTACTGGCACCCAATGAGGACCTGATAGATAATATCAAGGGATGTAGACAGGTTGTTTTATGTCCCACTGAGAGGCACCTGGGATGGAACACAGTGGCTGGCTACCAACAAGGCAACACAGGGCAGAAGCTGAATGCTCCGTCCAATGAAACTGCAGGTAGAAACTGTGGATCCACAATGGGATGGTCTTAGTCAAACTATGGCCCAGTTACAGGGGTGGCACCCCTAATTTCACAGTACCCCAAGATCACTACTGACAACTGTCTCTTGTCAAAGAGAACACATGTTCCTCCCATCAAGCAGGCAGCTCCTTCAGAAACAGCAACCCCTCACACTATGAAGGGGTATCAGTACTAGCTCAGGGCCAAGGGAGCACTACTGCCACTCCATGGAGCATGTTTAGGGCACACTGTCTATCCAAGAACTGCCAAGCATGATCCTGTGTAATGTACTGTGATGCTGAACAACACATACTGTAATGTTGTAACATGAACTACAATGCCAAGAAGCCTCCAGGGGACTGGAGGAAGGAACTCCAATGTACACTACAACTCCCAGAAAGCGGCAGGAGGGCAGGAAGAAATGGAAGGAGCATCATCGGAGCATGGGTCACCACAGCAGACCCGTGGTGAGAGAGTTGGAAGGAGTGGCGGGGCTAGGACTATGAGCTGTAGCAGGGGGACTCAGACATGGAGCCCAAGCAGATGGCAATTAAGTATTTTATGGGACCAGACTGGTTTGAAGCCCTCTGGAATTATGGAAAGGTTTAAAGTTCTCAAGTGTATACATCATAGTGTTAGTGTTTTCTACCAATAACTACTGGTTTCTACTGATTTCATCACAGTGTCACTATTTACTTCCTGTTACCCAGGTCCTAAGTGTATGTGCCTTAATGGTAATGTTTATTTACTTGTGTCTGTCCCTCTCTCCTTAGCCCACTGGCTTGTGACTCTAATCCCCAGCATCCCCTATATAAATGTGCCAGCTCCCTGTGCCAGTTCCTGGGGTTGCAGGGTTTGGTATACCTGCTTAGCTTGTAAAACATGACTGGCTGAAGGCTGTAGTGCCATTAATGCTGTTGGAAAGCCCATCAGTGTTGTGTCAGGAAATAGTGAACATAGTCACGGTGAAAATGGGCAGCCTGATTATGGAAAGCAAAACATCCCTGCTCCTAGTACTTTTACGGGCTTTTGTGTGCTCCTGACAAGAACTCTGTACCTCCTCCAGCTTGGCTCCCTAGGTTGTCCTTCAGTCTAGTGTTTTCTTCATCTTTCATTTATTCCAAACATTGCTGGAAATGGACTTGATCTAACCACACTGAAGTCACCGAACAGGCATGTTTGGACTTCAGCACATGGTAGATCAGGTCCAAGACAACCTCCCTCACTCACTGCTTCAACGACCTCGTCTTCCTCTTCTCCAACCCCTGCAATTGACCTCTGTATTTTGCTGCACAAAGTAAAAGCCTCCTCATCTCCCCTCCCTTGAAGTCCTGCATTATTTGCCTCTGCCCTACATCTCTGCCCCTTTCTTCTTATACTTAACTCCCTATACACCCCCAGTATTGCTCCTTCCTTGGTCTCCTCTTTCTCCACCTCTGGATTTGTCCCTTCTCCTGAGCCTCACCCTGTTCTTAAAGCAACCTCCTGTCCCTTGCTGGGCAATGAGACTTCTCCTTCAGACACACCTCCTCCCCGCCCTACACTGAACTTCTTGTTCTCCTGATGCTTTGATTTTGGTCAGCAGACAACTGTGAAGTCTTTGGCACAGGGACGATGCCTTTGCATATGCTCTGTGGGGTGCAATGTGCTGTCCACAGGGATTGGTTAGAAACTGAAGGAGCTCAAGAGACTGGATTAAAGTAGCTCCATTGATTTTAATTTAACTATGTAAACACATATAAATAAATACATGGATAAACCATACACCTAGGTCAGTCTAGACCTCTGGCTACTTGAAGTGCAGTACTAAATCCCTTACTCCAAAGGCCTTGTCCATTTGGGTCTTGGGTGGACCTTGGATATTTCCCAATGCTGCAGACAGAGTGGTGTTGTACCGTATACAGCAAAAGGAAAGAGAGAAAGAGAGAGAGACTAAATGGGCAACTTCAAATGACATGGCTGAAGTCCTATCAAGGGCAGTCTGATTAAATTAAATAGTGCAAAGGCAAAGTGGCATTCCCAGAACATTCTCACCCCACCCTTAGACACTGACTCCTAGCATCTCATTCAGGTCCCTATACATGGAGGACCAGAGCTGATGGGAAGGCAGTTTCCAGTTCACAGTGGATCTGCCCCAGAGCTGAGGGTCTGGATGGCACTTGATTTCCAGTTCATAAGAAACTGTCCTTTTTTTAAATTTGGTTTGGTTGCGAATCAGACAAAACACCAAATATACTCAGCATTCCCCATGGACTAGAAATTGAGAGCATTTTACTCTGGAAAGACCAAAGTAGAGCAGCTCCTCAGATTTTTTCAGCAGCTCCATGGAGTTGACATGCTCATCCATTTCACCACCGGCTGAGAGCAAGCAAGTTGATTTCATGGAGCAGCTAGGGGCCCTCAGTTGTATGTAGCTCCCAGGTAGTCCTGTCTGGGAGCTTCCCCAGAGCCACAGACCCTGGGAGCCCATCCTGTGGCTCTCAGGCTCTGAATCTGAGATCTGTAGCAAGAAGTCTAGAGCTATGGCTCCTTTTGAGGTTCTCAGATTTTTAGAACTTCCTCCTGCAGTGTCAGGAGCTGAACCCCTTTTGCAGTCAGGGCCCTCTGGGCTTTCAGGCTCCCACCTCCATGGCAGAGAGCCTGGAAGCTCTGGCATGGCGGTTTGGCCCAGAGCCGCATAATCTAAATCCGAGGGTTCTCAGCCTGGCTCTGTCAGGCCAGGGATTCTGCATTTACAGGGGCTGCAGCTCCAAGGCTCAGTGGCTAGGGCCAGGATCAAGTCCATTCAGGAGTCTCAGCTCTGGGGCAGACCCATCGGGCAGATGTTTCTTCAGGCAAGAGACTCTGGGAGCAGTCTGCCAGGGATTGGGGGTGGGTTCTGTTAGAACACTAATGTGGGATTGATGAAAACCTGAGGCATCGTGGACTCAATTAATTGACATTTTCTGATGAAATTTAATTCCGAGGGGAGATTTCAGGCTAGCCCTGTAAAACACAGCCTTAGAGTCAAGCATAAGTGTTGCCTTCACTATCCTCTCTCAAGGCCTCCTCGGCTGGTCCAGCCAAAGCATCCCTGCCCTCCACCACTGCTTGCTTGCTTGAAACATCGTGTGACAAGGCTCAGAAGACAGATGTGCACCCACAGTCTTTTTGAGGCTTAGCCTACACTGGAATCCACATACTGGGGCCAATGGCAAGAACATGGACTGAAAAAAGGATGCTGCCTCTTTGTGAATTCTTTCCAGTTAGTCTTTCCCAGCATCCATGAACGAAGAAACCATAACTGTACCTGTCCTGCCGTGTCGAGAATCTCAAAATGCACCATCTCCCCATCGATGACAGCTGTGTGTCTGTAAATCATCTCTGCAGAAGAACAAAAAAAGGCACGTGAAATGTCTCCTGACCCCTGCAGAGAGTAAGTGTGGACTTCAGCCAGCATAAGGTTGGCTAAGATTGTGCTATATAAGAAAGTACTGATAGCGTGGCAGATCAGACCCTGGCATGTCCTGATCACTGACAGAATGGTAACAACTGGATGCTTTCAGAGTGAACAGTCAAACTCACAACCCATCCCATCCCTGACTGCACTGAAGCTAATGGGAGCTTTGCCAATGATTTCAAAGGAAACCAGGTTGAGACCCTCTGTTAAACAAAATGGTGTCAGAACATAGCACCCCCACCTATGGTGAGAGGGTCATGCAGGCAGTTGTGGTGAAGTGCTAAGTGGCCCTGCTTCCCCCACATACACACTGCTCCCATATTGAAGTCCAAAACCACTCCAGATGTTGAAGTCATCAGACAGATTCTGACAAGTCTCGTTAGTTCATCTTCACCCGAGGGCATCGCTCTCTTGCTTTAAGATCAGGAAGGTGATAATGGAGCTGGTGTGTAGGGCGGGAATTGGGGAATTCCATGTGCTCTCAACTCTTGTAATGCATAGATCTGTTCCTGTTGCATGTTTTTGGAACGTTTTTCTGGACAGCTTTTTTCCACTTGTCAACAAAATATGTGTTTTCAAATCCCACCCTATCCTGCAGGCAAGCCAAAAGACTAGAGGTCTGTTGTCACATCTAATTCCATAGTAATCAATCGTAATGCCCCTAAACCAGGGCAGTGATATCACTACAGACCAAGTGGCCCTGGGGCACATGGAAAAAACATGTGGAAAAAAAAATACAAATCTCCCCAGCAATATGTATGGAGGCAAAGAGATACCAGAGGCAAAAGCAATAGCTTTTCCCTAGGTCCCCCTGGACCTCTTCCCTCCCCCTGCCTCCTGCCCAAGAAGACCTGCCTCTATCGGAGAGATCTAGCAGTGTAAATCAGTCACGGTGCTGATAGATGTGGGGGAAAAAAAATCCAGGGCTTTACCAGAAAAGGAACCATGTCCGTTTGAGCCTGTTCCCCAGCATCTATATAGCTCGCATGCTTTAGCAGAGCTTTTGGGCGCTTTTATCTAATAGCCAAGATGAAAGTAAAGGGCTGGGTTTTTTGTTTTGTTTTGGGTTTTTTGGGGGAGGAGGTGGAGACAGTGTTTCCACATCTGTAAACATCCTCAGTGTCAAAAACTATGCAGTCTAAGACCCACTGGTGTTGTCCATACTTTAAATCTAGCACTGGTGTAAGAACCTGATCTGCATTCACCGTGATACAGTAACATACTGACTGTAGCACTCAGGGTCTGTCTCAAAGTTTCCAGCAGGAACCTGTGGACTGCTGTATCATGTACAATCTGCCTCCAACTGTCTCTGTAGTTTAATTTAGCAAATGGAAAGCTGGAACATCCATGAGAGATTCCTGCAGTGCTTTCAAAATTAAGATTCATATGGATGAAACCATGTCTGTCCCAAACTGGCTACATGACTGGCTCTGCCTCTCTCCACCCTCCTGCCCATCTGAGAAAGAATGACTCTACAAAAAGAGGCCAGTGAGGCAAGGACTTGGACAAGGAAATGAAGATGAAAACCAAACTCAGGCCATGTTGGCTTTTATTCCATTGGAAACATGAGGTTGGGAATCACAGGAATGATCACAGTGTGACATATGCTAGAAATGAAAAGGATCAGGAGAGAATGACTCCACTGCAGGGGGGTTAAATGCCAACAGAGAGGGAGCTAAAAGCTATGAGGTCTTTCAAGCTATTTTTAAAAGCAATTCTTTCAGTTCTGCTTGTCAGCCCTGCTGGTACTCCTCACCCACTGCCTTCAACTTGCTGGTCTTTTAGATCGGGTCACATACATCTGGAACAACAGATCTTGCTTTTCTAAACAAGAGATAAAAGTTGCCTTGATGCATAGATCTGCACGGTTCTTTTGACATCAAATATGTAGTGAAATGCTTGAAACTTCTCTAATATATCCAAGATATAAACACCAAAACATTCTGCCTTGCAACAGTTTTGCAGAGACAGTGCCCTACAAAAGTGACCTTCCCCTTTATTTCAATAATAGTGATATTTGCATGAACAAAATTCTTGCCACTCCAGAGTTCATTTGCTACTGTTATGTAGACGGGGACACAGCAGTCTAGGGAACAGATCTCAGGATGGAATCAGGAATTCAAGTTGCTAGGAAGCTAGTACTTCTGAAAGTCAGGCCACCAGTCTGCCAGGACATGGTGGCAGATTGGTTAAGGCAGGGGCGGGCAAAATACAGCCCATGGGGTCCCTAAAACATTTAGAAAATTAATATTTATCTGCTCCTGGCTGCCTGTCAAAGATGACAGGAGACAGGGGCAGTAGGCCCCAAGGGAAAGTCAGCAGCAGGAACCAGCACCCCAGCCCCACCCCACTCCCTGCCTTCCTGCCCCCACACTGTTCTAGCACCACATGGCTGCAGGCAGCATCACCAGACCAAGGAGCATGGGCCTGTGCCGGTACAGGGGGGAGAGAGAGAGAGAGAGAGAGAGAGAGAGAGAGAGAGAGTGTGTGTGTGTGTGTGTGTGTGTGTGTACACACACGTAGGGAGGGACTGTATGCGCGTGCGTTCATAGGGTGAGTACCATATGCACACCCCACCATACAGATGCACCCACACCCCTCACTCACACTGCCATCCACGCAGACCCTCACACATACACCCCCTCACAGCCCAGCCACCTTTCCCCACACAAACCCCATACCCACCCACACCCCACATATCCACACACACCCAAATGCTCCCTCACTCTCCACCCCCCACACCTATCCACCCCCACAGACCACAAACCCCAGACACACCCACACCCCACATACCCACAGCCCCCCACAAACCTATACCCACCCCCCACAACATACAGGAGTAAGACTTCATTTTAAGCTATTATATATAATCACCTCTATGTACACTATACAAACACATGTAAACCAGGACAAAAATATTTTCTGAAATCAAATTAATGAATGTTGTAGATATGCGCTTTTTACAATATAATTTGGTATTTTTCTGGTTCTGAGATGGCAAAACCCCTTGCTGAAAGGAGTACTCCTGGGGGTAAGGGACTTCAGGGCTATCCATCCAGCCCTTGACAGCTTGCCAAAACTTGTTAAGTGGCCCTCTGCCCAAAATAATTGCCTGCCCCTGGATTAAGGCATCTTGCTACAGACACAGGTTTGGGCCCTGTTCTGGGTTTGTGCTAAAAACTGTCCCCAGTCAACCTGGCTATATAGGCACACCTGGAAGGTTTTCTTGGTGACATCTTTTATTCGGCCAGCTACTTCATTGGGAGAGATGTTAGACAAGCTTTTGGGCACTAAGTGCCTTTCCTCAGGTCTGAGAAAGCAGCAGATGCAGCCCAAGCTAAATGCCAGGTAGATCAATGAATTGTGTTTAACTCCCATTAAGCGAAAATAATAATTAAAAGAAGGGGAACAAGGTAGTAAAGCAAAAGTAATTGCTCTACTTGGTATTTAGCTTAGGCTCTACCTGCCTCTTTTCCAGACCTGAGGAAAGACATTTTCTGTCTAAAAGCTTTTCTAACATCTCTCCCAACTCTTCCCATATCTCTTCTAACTACTGTTTCAACCAGTTGACCCAATAAAAGATACTGCCAAACAAACCTTGTTTCTCACATATTCCCTGGACCATCACAGCTACAACATAATTCTCACCTTACTGCAACTTGGACACCTGGTCATTCAAGCTGTGAAGTGACCATATATGTCGAGAGCCACATCACTCCCTTGTGTAAGCACAGCATAGCAAGTGCTGTGCTTAAACAACACTAGCTCGACAAGTCATTTAACTCAGGGAGATCTTTACCTTGACTTTGAGGTAAGAGCCTACCTTGTTCCGAAAATCTTGGCTCTGGTCTCCATTCCTGCCTCTGATTCACTTTGGGATAACACCTCCCAACCTGCCTTGCAGGAGTTCTCTGAAGTCCTGCCAAGGCAGAGCATAATTCTTCATGTCTTGGTGTGGTTTTCTGGCAGTAACATCAAAGGTGTTTTAGCCTTTGTCCCTACCTATAGAGCGTACTCTTTTGCTCTGACCTCTCAAACCTGTTCAAACACAGCTACTGAAGTCATTAGAACAGAGAACAGGAAGGGAGTTTCTTGGTCATCAACTCCAGTTCCCTGCAGCCATGTCAGAGAATCCCTTCTAGCAGCTGATCTTTTTGTCATCAAAAACCACCTGCTCCTGTTCTTGGACTCCGGCCTTGGCTTTCACATAAAGTTTAACCTTTACACTCTTGACCTTCACCATGCTCACACTTATGACCCCCACCCTCAATCCTGATATAGTCCCATCCTCACTCATGCCCCAAGTCCTTTCCCCTGTCTTTCCCTGTGCTCTTGCCAAATCTTCCATAGATCCCTTTGTCTCATCTCCCAGCCTCAAGCCTTCAGCCACTTATGCTCTATCTTCACCTCCTCAACTCCCTGCTCTCTTCCTTCAAACCCACCTGTGTAAATGTTTTTCCCTTATCCCTATTCCTTCTTCTGAGCATGTGGTCTCATCTCATTTGGACTGCAAGCTCTCCGGGGGAAGGAACCCCGTGTATTCTGTGAAGTGTCCAATGAGGATGAAGCTAGACTGTTCTCAGTGGTGACAGATGACAGAACAAGGAGCAATGGTCTCAAGTTGCAGCAAGGGAAGTTTAGGTTAGATATTAGGAAGAATTTTCTCACTGGAAGGGCAGAAAAACACTGGAACAGGTTACCTAGAGAGGTAGTGGAATCTCCATCCTTGGAGGTTTTCAAGACTTTACAAAGCCTTGGCTGGGATCATCTAGTTGGGGATGGTCTGGCTTTGAGCAAGGGGTTAAACTAGATGACCTTCTGAGGTCCCTTAGAACCCTAATTTTCCCTGATTCTGTATCAGGTGTTTGTGGTGCGAGTTACATACTTTATCAGGCCACAGTAAGCAGCTCCAAGTGAAAGAAATAAGCAGCAGACAGAAAGGAATTCCCGCAGGAAAAGGGATCCTGCCTTTGTGAAAACTTTCTCCAGTCAAAATAAACAAGGGAAGCAAAATAAAGAAAACATAGGATGGGTAAGGAAAGAGCTGGGCTGTTTTGAAACCAGAACATTTCTTTTCCATGAGGCAGCAGCTACTTCCTACATGAATTGCAGAAAACAGAAGAATTTCTAGCATCCCCACCCTTCCAAGCCCAGTGCCTACACACCAAAACATGGCCCAGCAAATAACATGGCTTGAAAAGAGTGACCTACATTTTTATTGGCTCATGATTTTCCATATCCAACTTGGGCTCCTGTAAAAAGGCCTGGTATTCAGAAGGTAAGTGCTCAAATTGAACATCAAGCAAACAATGGAGGTCCTGGATATCGCTAGACATGTTTTAATTGAGGGGCTGAATGCCTTACTTCCCCAAAAGAAAGCCAGCCTTGTCCCCAGATGCCTTCAGGATAACTCAGCAATTCCCATACAGTATCTGGCACAATGGAGTTTACCCAGGCTATCATAATATAAATCACAATAATAGCAGCAGTAGTTGAATAATAAAGACTTCACTTACCTAGAGTAGGGTCATAGTCCCCAATGAATCTTTTGGTGATGAATCTTACTGTTAAAGCTGTATGACAAGAAACAAAAACAAAGAAGAGTTGCAATTAACCAAGAAAACTCAATAAAACACTGATAAAAAAATAATTCGTTTTTCTGCACACTCCTGAGCACAGACCTGATGAAAGAAATTGAGAGCAGGAAGTCTAGCAATTAGGGGCCGGGTCTGGTCCAAAAAAATACTTAAATTGGGAAGCGGTCAGGGTCAGGGAAGCTATTCCAAAGCTTGGACAGAAGTAATACACAACCAGAAACAATTCAAGTCTCTGTTCTAACACCACACAACACTGACACCTGAAGGGATAAGGGGCAAGGAAGGGCATGAAACAGTGGCAGCTTGGGGCTGTAAAGTCTAGACAACCCAAGCACACCAGGCTTAGAAGTAGATTGGAAAGGATCTGATGGTAATGCTTTGTCATTCTCCCTCTGCAAATCCAACTCCCTGACTTGCTGATTGTCAGAGAGGTGCAGAGATAGCCTTGCCAGGTTCTCTGCTTAGCTCCAGTTAGTAAAGTACTTGATCATGAACTTAGAGCTAGGTGGGCTGCTTCCAACACACAGAACTGGAATGTGCCCAGCAGTCTGTTCTCCTGATTTGGTCAGGGGGCAGGAGGGGGAATGAGAAACTGGGTCTGCATAATCCAACACTGTTTGTATCAAGGAGCTACTTTACAAATACAAGTCTTCAAGGAAGGAACTGGATGTGTCCCTCATGTATGGTTGGGATCCTTGTAGAAACCATGAGGTGGACTCCTATGGGCTGTGCCAGGCAGAGGGGCAGACTCCATAACTGTAATGCTCCCCTCATGGCCTTGATGGTGCATAGGCACCTCAATACAGATATGACTTAAACTGTGCCCTGACTTACAGGGCTACTGATTTCAGTGGGAGGAATATGTTGTGGTAAAGTTGGCTCATTCTGCCTCATAGCACTTTTCTTACTGCTTGCATTTGTGCAAAAATATCTTAAGTAACCCCAAATGCAATAATAAAAGAAAATCAAACTGTGCCTTATAAAAGTCAACTTAAGGCAGGACAGTGGAATTTGTTGAGTGCCTTAGCAGCAGGCAAAACACTAAGATGTGTGGCTTTGCTGGCTCTACCAGTGCTTCACATTCCTGTTTCTTGGTCTGTGAGCACATTGTATATTTTAAAAATCATCTTTCATAGGTGATGCTGAGGAGGATGTTGGGTATTTTTTGCTACTTAATGACCTAACTCTTGTTCAGCTCTTCTGGGTATGTTGATTTCTATTAGCCCTCCAAAGGGGAAGGAGCTGCACATTTTGAGCTGCTACAGGAAGATGGAAAATACTAAGGCTGTGCGAAGCTTCAGGTGCTGATTCGATTCCGAAGAGATTAGACCTGATTTGGTGGCCGAATCCGAATAGAATCAGGGGACCAATTAAAAGGTCTGAATTGATTTGAAGCTCTCCGAATCTTCACTGGCAGTCCCCAGTGACTGCAGCAGGGAGCTGCAGCTGGATTCGATTCGGCTGCTGCTGAATCTCCGAACCAGATGAGGCCAAATTGATTCGGGACAATGATTTGAATCACCAAATCGAATTACTGTCCCCTGAATCAGCTGAATCTGAAGCAAATACTAGCCACTTTGCACAGGTCTAGAAAATACCTTTAAAAAGTCCCTCTAGGACATGGCACAGCTCTCTAGAATGACAAGTCATAAAACCACAAGCCAGTACTTTGGAGGTATCCATGACAATTTGGTGGGTGTCAGTCCAGCTCTGAATGCCACGTGGGACAATCCTTATGTATATATACACATTTATGGACATTCACAGACCCTAGCTCTGTGGAAGTCAATGGCATAACTCCCCCTGGTTTCAGCAAGGCCAAGATTTCAGCCATAAATTTTTATGACCAGAACATAACATAACGATCAATCTAATCTGACCTCTTGCATAACATAAGGCAAGGCATTTCACATAGCAGTTCCTGGATTGAATATTATAGTTAAGCAAAGAAATCAGAGTGTACAGCACAGAATCATTCAAATGTTATTCTAGGAACGGCTCTGAAATGCAGATAAATAAAACAGGCTTTCCTCATATGTGCTATTAATAAATGGTGTCTTATGGCCCTGACCTTGCAAAGACTTAGGTACATGCTTAACTTTACATCTGGTGAATAACTTCAGCAACTTGAGTGCAACTACTTCCTAAGCCTTGTAACAAGACTGGTACTGCAAGGGCAGCTGTCACATCCTCTGGTGGCTACTCAGCTCCTGCTCCACTCTAACTGTAAAGTCCCTCCATTCGCTCTTTCCTAAATAATAATAATAAAACTTGTAGAGGGAGACTGCCCAAGGGTCTTAGGGCAAGCCACAATCTATCTCCTTTACTCACAGATCCTTCTTGGACCCCGCTACTCATACTCAATCCTTCCCACTATATGGGCCCTCTTGACCCATACATGCCTCCCAAAAGTACCCACTACCTTATGGGCTAATCACAGCCTCCAAACCTCCCCTACAGCCTTGCAGGTGTTTCCAGTCATCCCTTAGGCAGGCACCTTCCCCCACACCACTAGACCATTTTAGGCCTCTTAATCCCTTGTTGGGGCCCTGGCTTTCCCAGCTTTCGCTCCCACTGCTGTGGCTGGTCCCTTTGGCCTAGACCAGGGGTGGGCAAAATGTGGCCTGTGGGCTGGATGTGGTCCACCAGGTCATTCTATTCAGCCCATGGGGCACCTAAAAATTTTAGAAAATTTAAATTTATCTGCCCCTGGCTGCCTGTCATGCAGCCCTCGATGGCTTGCCAAAACTCAGTAAGTGGCCCTCTGCCCAAAATAATTGCCCGCCCCTGGCCTAGTCCCACACTGCACCAGGTCTCGCTCCTCAGGCTCCAGCCCTTTACTCGCCCTCTTGGGTTCTTATTTCTGGCCTGCCTGGGCTGTGGGCCCTCTGGCCATAATCTCTACTTCTTTCTGGGCTGTGGGCTCTCTAGCCTTGTTTCTGCCCTTCTTGGACTTGTGAACCCTCTGGCCCCAATCTCTTCCCCTTTCTGGGCTGTGAGCTTACTAGTCCTGTACCTGCCCCTTATGGGCCATGCGTCTTTGATCCTTGTTTTGTCTCTCCCAGGCTTTTCTCTCTCTGTTGCTGCAATCAAGCCGCTGCCCTCTGGCAGGATTCAAAACAGCCACGTACCCCTCAGGCACTGTATCACTGGGACCTCCTCTCACCCCTTTGTAGTCCCACCCAAACTGCTGGTTAAACTCTAACATACATAAGTATGGCTATAACCTAATCCTCTAAACCTACTGACTCCCTAATACAATTATCATCCATACTGGTTCTAATTCCCTGTCAGTCCCCAGCTCCCTACTTGCGGCTCAAGAGGCATAGCACAGGGGTTTTCAACCAGGGAACACTTCTGCCGATTGGCCACTGGGGCATTCCCCCCCCCCACTCGACAACTGGTTGATTGCGGGGGGGGCGGAGAACCAGGAAGTACTCCTTCCTTCTTGACCAGCCGCTGGGGGTATACTGACCCAAAAAGGTTGAAAACCCCTGGCACAGCAGGATCTCACTCAGACATCATCAACAGGTATCTCCCAGCAGAGCTCCTTTCCCTTCAGCCTCTAGGACCAGACTGTTTGCTCCGGGTCTGGCCTAGGTTTATATGCCACTAGAGTTCTGCTCTTTTCACCATGCATCCCCCTTCCCCACTGCCAAGTGGCTGAGACATAAAAACCATGGCATTAATTGCCTCTGGGCCACTCAGCAGCAGGGGGGGCCAGCAGGGGGGGCAGGGGGAAGCACAACACAAAGAGCAAAATTAAAGGTGCCCCTGCACCACGAACTTCCACTGTGATTTAGGTAGGTCCCTACCTATAGCAGCAGAACTAATACTGCCGTAGGTCTTTTGCTGCTTCCCCAGGTTACTCTCCTGTTGTTATATTGCTGTGCTGCCAGAACAGCAATAGGCATATCTCATTTAAGGATCTCTGGCTGCTTATCCCTTTACAGGTAGCCCCACTCTTGATTGCCTGGGCTCGGTTTGACTCCATTTTCTCTCTCTCAGTAACAGGAGCCAAAGGTTCCCTAGTACAGCCTCAAGATTATCATGAGATTCTTTGTCAGGGTGAGCTCTTGACCTATAACAGTGCGGTGACAGAACTGCACCATCAGTACACATTTCAGTACTGTTTAATGCTGTATATGTACATGTCAGAGAGTGAGTAAATTCTGCTAAATACATTGTCACAAGGACATGAAAAAGGAAAAGAAAGACAGTGAGATCAAATGGTAGAACGCCACATATACAAATTAAATTAATCGAAGGCTCAGTTTAGAATGAGATGCCTTTGCAATATCTGTATTTGCCATAATAATGTGGGTTTAGCAAACAAAAGGGGGAAAAGACAGTTCCAAGTTTGGTCCTGTTTATACTTGGCTATAACACTTCAAAAAGAAAAAAAAATCATCATGAAATGAGCGCTAGAAAAATAGCCCAAAGCTCTTTTCCTCCTCCTCCTGTGAGGAGTGAGATGTCTATGACAGCAAACACACTGTACACATGCTTCATTTATGCCTGGGAACTTGTATCCACAGCCCAGGGAAGCCAAGGGCAATCAGAGGTGTTGTTTTAGCCTAACCCTTTTAAGGGTCCCAGGCCCTGGTCCTTCAGGGGGAGCTTACTAAACCAAATGAATGCTAGTTGTGAAAATGTCTCTCTTCTTTTTGTATTTCATAGCTGAGTAGACCCAGAAGCAAAAACAAAACTCAAATAAGTCAGCAGCCTTTTTTCTCTAATGACTACGCTAGTTAGGAACAGCCACAGCAGTGAAATGTAAGTAATTAAATGTCTGTTATTCAATTAATAGCTCTCAAGACAAATACAGGAGCTCAGAAGGCCTAACATTTGGTGTCAAGTTTAACTCTAGACTGAACCAAGGGTAAAGCCTCCTGCTTAAGCCCTGGCCTCTTAGGTCCCTCCAAACAGCCTGGGTGCCCTTTTCCCCTCTTCCTGCCATGGCAAAGTACTTACTTCTGTCCTGTCTTCTAGTTTGTTTGCTCTGAACAAGAAAGACTCCAAGGCAGCCCTGGAAAGGGAGCATCTCCGAGCAAAGCCCTCCTAAGTGAAATGGCAGGTTGGTGGAGGCAGGTAAACAATACAGCAAGCTGGAAACTGAGTCAGAGTCTTTTTGAGGCTTGCTATGATGGGTTATCAGGTGACAGAGCAAATCTCTGGAGGGAGTGAAAGCCACCTAAAGATTCCTAGACAACAGCATCTCCAACAGTCAAGAGAAAGAGAAATTCACTCACCAACTTACATAGAGTCTTGAGACCCAGCTGCCTACAGTTCATAAGCTTTCTGGGAAGAGCAATGAGGGTGGCTTTAATGCTGGTTTGAAGTTCTGGGGACTCAACCTTTGCCTTCAGACACAGAACAGACAGAAGGGGCCGCAGGAGTGCAAGATGCTCCACAGCTCCCAGCCCTGTCCACGGTCTTCATCCTCCAATGGGAGGTATAACCTCAAGAGCGCAGGCAAGTTCCCAGGGAATGCAAAGGAAAACTGAACATGAAGGCTCAACAGACATCTATTAGTTAAGGGTATTTTTTTCCTGCCTGCTTGGACTTTGACCAAGTGCGTGGAACAGCCTTCAGCCACTCGCTCTTCACTGGAATTAATACTTAAGTATCACTGCCTAGAACAGAGGGGCTAGAACAGAGGCGGGCAAAATATAGCTCGCGGGTTGGACCCAGCCTGCCAACTGATTGGATCCGGCCTATGGGGGGCACCCTTCAATTGATTCAATCCCACCCGTGGCTTCTCCAGCGGTGCTCCGCATGGGGCTGAGTCCAGCCCAAGGTACCCCATGCTGCACTCCAGCCCATGCCCACCAGCCCGGCCCTGTCCGGCCTGCACAACTTCTGCAGCGGCTACTCCCAGTGCGGCTGCAGCCTCCTAGATGCTGCTCCACTCCTCTTGCCTCCAGAGGCTGCTCCCCCTCCTTCTATGCCACTTGGGGCTGGAAGGAAGCTTCAGCTTGGCAGCTCCTGCCCTGTATGCAGGGCTCTGGCTCCAGCTCCTAGCTGCCTTCCACCCACTCTGCCTGCCAGGCATGGGCAGCTACGTGGATAAAAGGTGGCTGGGAGCTGGAACCAAAGCCATGTGCACTGGGGCAGGAGCCACCTGGCTGAAGCTTCCTCCTGGCCCAGAGTGGCGCAGCAGGACCAGGAGGAGGAGCAGCCACTGGAGGCAACAGGAGTGGAATAGCACCCAGGCAGCTGCAGCTCCTCTGGAAGCTGTGCATGCTGGCTGGGGCGGGGCCAGCAGGCATGGGCTGCTCTAGGTAGGAATGACTAGGACTCAGCCCCAGGTGGAGTGCCATGGGGGCAGCCATGGACTGCATCACCTGGGTGAGCTCTGCTGCATGTGCCCCCTGCTCCCTCCTCCCTCCCCTCACCCCTGGCTGGCTCCCAGGACCTAGTGCCAAGACAGCCCCTCCACAAACACACATGTGCACCCCCCCGAACCCCCTATCTTGCTCACAAACACTGCTCCCCACCTGCCGCCCATCCCACAAAGGGAGTTTTGGTGAGTTGTTGCAGTCGTGGGCAGGGAGAAGTACTGATCTGGCCCATGACAACTCATCTGGCCCCCAGGGCCCAAATAATTTCCCACCCCTGGACTAGAACCAGACAGAGAGCTGGTAATAGCACAGGAGGGATCCAACCCCCACATACATATGGGGTACAATTTCAAAAGGGAACATCATGGGCCTACCAGGGCTCCCATGCAATCCGATGAAGGTGTAGCTTGCCTGTTTTCCCTGAGTGGGAGGGATGACCGATAAACACAGGGAAAAGAACACGTTGAAATTCACAAACTGCTTCCCCAGCAAGCTGGGAGGACAAGCCAGCTGGCTCAGAAAGGATGGGTCTGAAGAGGAGGGAAAGGCAGGCAGTTATGACTTTAAATACAAATCTCCAAGGAGCAGGATATCACATCGCAGGGAGGAAACCTCCAATAAATAAGGGAGGAAGGAGCCAGCTAATCACAGATCACATCTAAAGGGAAGGCTACATCTCACATTAAAAGAAGCATTAGGTTAATATACCAAGCCCAGGCATCAAGGTGAGGAGATAGCAGCTTTCCTACACATATACAGCATGGTTGATGGTCTACACCAGGGGTATCAAAGATATGGCCCATGGGCTGAATCCAGCCTAGAGAGCCATATCATCTGGCCCCTGGTGCTGCCTGTGGGTCTCAGTGACCTACAGGCAGCTTGCAGAGTGGGCTGGATGGCCCCACACAATGCCCGCAGAGTGGTCATGTGCAGCTCCAGGACTGTGCTGCATGCACGGGGCCTCTGGCGCAGCCAGAGCAGAACCAGAATGCAGGGCCAGTCTGGCCTGCAGACCAGCCGTGCATGCTGGATCAGTTTGATACCCTTGGTCTACGCAGACTCCACAAGGTCCTGTATAGTTCTGGTCTAGAATGTGCTGGGGAGGTCTTTTAGCTGCTCTAGAATCCCACTCTGGAAGGCTTCCTCTGATGGGACCTCCACAGTCATGGGAGCAGTGGAGGACAAATACAACATACTGGGAAAAGGAAGCATTTTGGTGAAACAGCCAGCAGATAGCTACTGTGACATCCCAAAAGTGCCTTACCGAGGATGCAACAAGATGAGCTTAGGGCTCATGAGAGTAGGGGAAGCCAGATACTCAAGTCATTTCCTTAGTGTCACCCATGACTTGGACACCCTAACGGAGCAGCACAGCTACATTTACTGTTTCCGTTGTTTGGCACTGTATATACTTGGCTTATACAAGGAGTTGGAAATCATTTTAAGGGGCCTGGGAGAAGGCTTTATATGCCATGGGTTTATATGCCATATTACATGCAAGAACTTAGCTGCCCTGTAAGAAAAATTAGGAAGTTTGTGAGGTGATGATGGCAGTAGTGCCACGGGAAAATATGGGGGAGGGCACGGGGGAAGAACATGCAGGTGGTGAAATATGTCACAGCTTCATTAGTGTCAGTAGAGCCAAGACAATTTATACCAGCTGAGGATCTGTCCCCAAGATTAAAGGTATGAAGGCACAGCCCGTATGGAGGAAATGACTGTAATTATGTTCTTTACAGTCAATGGGGAAGTCAGCACTAAGCAAAGCTATTATTAACTTACTATTTGAAGTACAGCACACAGTCACACAGATGGCCATAGACAGGGGACACAGAGAGCAAAGTGGGACACAGCAGACAAACACTCTCTGTCTGGGAAGGGATAATTACGAGAGCACCAAGGTCAAGGCGCGTAAGTGGTTTGGCGGGCAACCCTGCAGAGGCATGGGGTGGGGACTTGTTTGTGCACCATAGTTGTGGTTAAGGCCTGGACCAAACAGAAACTGCACATTCCAGCCATTGGGGAATAGGGCTGGAGAACTTGCCCAGGATGGGACAGCGACAGCAATAAGGCTCTGTCACTGCACCTGAAAGAACAATGGGCCTCCGAAACAACGGTGCAAACACAAAAAGGATTTTCAAAGGTCTTGACTCTACCTTGCCAGGGCTTAGAGCACAACCAAGGAGGGGGAATAGAGGGCATTATCTTGCTCCCATACTATTCCATGGCTATATTCCCATTGTCTACAATGGTACAGGCTTAAGGCATAAAGCTGCATCCTCCCAAGCTGAGGGCAGGAACAGCCCAGCTGATAGGGATGCGGCAGGCACTGCCGGAGCGGCTGGAAATACAAAGAGCTTCCTTTGGTCCCATGAGACATGAGCATTGCAATGGGCTTTTCATTAAGTAAACTGGTGTTCACATTGTACAGAGAGATTCATTACAACCCAGCTGTGAGGAATATATTAATTTTTAATTCACAGATGGTAGTTAACTCAGAGTGTTTTTTAAAAGAAGGTGTCAGGAGTACAAAGGTGTCAGGGAGGAATCTGATGCAATTTTCTATCCTTACTATAGCCACTATCAGGAAGACAGCTCTGTATTGGTAGACTCCTGAATCTGCATATAGCCTCACTGATATTAGTAGGGCCATGTAGTGAGGCATGGATGGGCTGTAAAGTTACTTACAAAATTAGGAATTTATATTTATCCATGACCTGAGCCAAATATATTGAACATCTTCCATAATGGAAAAGCCTCATAAAACTTAAGAGGGTAGATATCTAGAGCAACAACTCTAAATAGATACCAAAAAAGGCTTTTTTGGTGGTATCTTTTACTGGACCAACTGTATAGTTGGGAGGGTTGTTTGACAAGTTTGGGGCACAAAGAGCCCTCCTCTAAAAACCTACAGAGTCAGACGACTGCTGACACCCCACTGAATATTGTTGTTTCCTACAGAACTAAATGCAGAATTATAGCCCAGAAGGAAAATTCCAGAGGTGGTTTTTACAGTTCTATAGAAATGGAAAAATTCCCTCAAATTCCATGGGACTCTTCCCAGGAATGTTATCAAAGTAAATATCCATGTATTGTTTTTAGAAATACAGGCCATTATTCAGCAAGGAAATCCACGTTAGCCAAAACAAGAATGCCAACCCATATAATGTCATTTCACGTTGCAGAATATTTCATGTTTTTCTTAAAGCTCCAGCTTCTGGACCTATGTGATTAGAAGAGCTCAGCTTTAGTTAAAAATAAACCAGTTCCCCAGGGCGCCTCTTGGGGTAACAAAGAACAATGGTCACAAACTGACAAAGAGCAGATTTAGGCTAGATATCAGGAAAAACTTCTTCACAGTAAGGGTGGCCAAGTTTGGAATGGGCTTCCAAGGGAGGTGGTGCTCTCCCCTACCTTGGGGGTCTTTAAGAGAAGGCTGGAGAGGCATCTGGCTGGGGTCATCTGACCCCAGCACACTTTCCTGCCTAGGCAGGGGGTCAGACTCGATCTGTTGAGGTCCCTTCCAATCCTAGCATCTATGAATCTATGAAGTTTCTAGCCCTTGTGATTATGAAAAAGAGCTTGAAAAGGAGGACTCTATAGGCTCAAAACCCAGAAGGAAAAACAGGACCCACCATTTTTAGCATCTCAATTTTTCAGTCTTGGTCTTCGACTTTTGAATGGCTGAAGTTGGCAATACCTGCACCCATCTGAGCCCCAGTGACTTCAATAGGTCTTTGCGTGAGCACAGGAATCCGTCCCTATGAAGCACTTTTACAGGACTGGATGCCAAACTATTCCTTTTCATTCTGGCCATCCAGACCCAAAAGTTTCACTGTGGTTTAACTTAAATCAGTTAAAGATGACTATAAGCCAAACTGACTTTTCCCTCCTCCATGTGCAGTCTTGTGCAGTTTAACTATGGCTCATTGCTGTTTAGCTTAAATTTAGTCCCAATGACTAAACCCAAACAAGCCTGGTTTAAAACAAAAATCAGAGCCTTTTGCACTGATTCCACTTAACTGGTTTTATAACTGCACCTTAAAGCACACAAGAGCAATTTCCTCATATAGAAAAGACCTAAAATGCCTGGTGGCTTACGGGGATGATAGGTAGGCATGTGAGGGCCTGACAGCACGTGAAGGGGAAGGTCAGTTATTACTATGTCAGTTATGGGTGGATCAGACTGCCAAGAGGCATGTGGGAATTGAGAGAGAAGGGAAAGACACAGGAAGAAATGCACTGTGAATGAACTAAGGGAGAGAGGAGAGAGAAACAAGCAGGTACAGAACTGAAGATGGAGTCTCATGAGAACTTAGC